GAAATAGGAGGGAAAAAGAAAATGAGAGAAAATTAAAATTGAAATTTGAATTTTTGGGATAATAAAATCTAAAGAGGAGATAGGATAGCGAACAATCCACCTTTTCTTTTACATAAGGAAAAATTAATTGTAAGTTGGAAGACTAGTTGAAATTGGAAGAAATGAGAATTTAGATAACGATTGAGAGATTAGTGGACTTACTCTTAGATTCCTTAAGCTTTGAATCAATTTAAAATCCAATTCCTTTAATTAGGATTGAAGCTCAACTTACAACTTTTTTGTCAAAACTATGAGTTTACCCCTAGGTTTTAGGAGCCTGATAGCGAGCTAAGCTGACTCTATAAATGTTTGAGGGTTAGTGGAAACACACTTAATTGAGATTAGACACTTTAGGACACTTCAAGTTTAAACTAAAGTGCAGGTATCCTAGATCTTAGAAGCACAACTTAAGAGATAGTTTATCATCCTAATTTTCAAATGACCCTAAGAAATCCAAACATCTAACCTTAGTTTAGGAGATAAATAGGACACTAGGCACGAGGGTGCACTAGATTGTGACTCATGACTGATTTAATTAAATCAAATAATGAAATTCTTACCTTAACTTGACCAAAACTGAAGCTCAATGCTCCGGAATTTGAGTTTGTCCCACACTCAAATCCTCCTGACAATTGGGGACATTCCAATATCACATATAAATTTTCTATTCTTGGTCCTTTATATGTGATGTTGTATTTTATTTTATTTGTTTGTCTTTTTCCTATGATTTACCTGTTTCTGTTAAGTCTTTTTCAGGTCATACTTTCCTCTTTTATACAGCGCATAATAGTTAAATTTAAAGGAGCAATGAACCTCTCAGGTGTACAAGTTTAATTTATATTACAACATTTTATTTTAAAGCATATTATATTGTTTTCATAGCCTGTTATACTGCTTTCCCAGCATAGTATACTACTCTTTATAACACGTTATGCTCTTCTTTCAGCATGTTATATTGTCTTTTCTCTTTACTATATAGTGCATTGTTATTTTTCTTTCACACTGCATGCTTAGTTACTTTGATACACTATGCCTTAGTTTAGGATAACCTAGTGGTTAGGAGCATTTTTAAAACTAAAACTAAACCAGGAGGTTCTACTACGAGAAGTTTGGAGCGAACAACATGGACAGCGCGACGAGGAACAACTTCCAGGTGGATCTGCAGCAGCAAAACATCTTCTCATCACATAAACATTTTCACATCACCTATCACTTTTCTTAGTTTAAATAACAACCCATAGGATCACTCTTTAGGCTTTCTGTACAACTCTGTTGTATAATTATAAGTCCTAACGCTTTAGGATTCCGAGGTTACCGTGCGGTACAGTGTAAATCCTCTTATCTTTTTAGGCTATTTGCACAGTCCGATATTGTGTAAACATAAGTCCTAAATCCTAAATAATTTGCAGGATTGAAATATCAAATAATCACCATTTCAAAGACATAAAGCCAAATAATAGGATAGTTGAGACATCTACGGGATTTCTCCTGGATCTGTGATGTCCCCTACTCTTCTTCCCTTTGGATTCCTTAAATAATTGTTCCTATTTTGAGTCATTCCTATTTGATTTTCCCATGTACAATCGTGAAAACCTAAACTTTGAAATCTTGAAAGCAAAACCACCTGATCTTAATCGAGAGTTTTCTTAAGTGATTTCGATCATTTAAGATGTGATTAACTATAGGGGTTTGCCTCTATAGGGAACCAGGAACCCAGATAAAATAAACCCTATCTAATTTTTATGTTAGGTAGGGGAACTTGTTGGCCTTTTTATAAAAATATTTCGCAGACCAATATGGATGTCACAAATTCTTTAGTCTAGGTGATTGAATCTCTATTACAAGTGATATATTTATTCTTCGGGGTAAGTGTATTACCTGTAGTATTGTATTCAATCATCTAAATTATTTAAATGTGAGACTCGTTTGGTCTCACTTATTTTAAAAATTAAAATGTTATTTTTAAAAATCAAAAGGGGTTATATTCATATTTAAATTATCTTTTAAATCACAAAATCATTACTTTTCCAAATCACGAAGTTTAAAAGATAAATCGGCCGACACACCTCTATCGGTCTTCTTCACCTGTTTCTTATCCTCCATCATCTAGGCGAGCTCCATCATTTTTTTCAATCCACGCGGTCTCAATGGGCAGATAACCCCTTTTATGTCGGGTTTTAGGCTTTTGAAGAAATTCCCTTTCATTCATGCCACATAAATCTCCCTCAACCTTTCTGATAAGAGTTCGAACTTCTTTTGGTATTTCATTACCGTCTCCTCCTGAGTCAGAGCATGAAATTGCTCGTGTTGGCCTCCTCATATGACTCAGAAACGTTCCTATAAGCAATGCTTAAACTTCTCCCATAGTCATTGGATACCTAGCCTGCATCCACTGGGACCACGCTATAGACTTCCTTTCCAAGCATAATCCTGATGCCATGAGCTTTTCTTCCTCAGTCAATCGTTGATTGCAAAGTATCGCTCTATCCGATACCCCCATCCATGTGCATCCTCCCCTTTGATGATTGACATCTTCAGTTTCTTAACCCTTGCATCTCCACCCCAACCCCCTCTTCTTTCGGTATTTACCCCCATTTATCTTGGGTGGAACACCCTCCTCTGATCTAGGAATATCCCACTCAAGATTCCCTCCTCGGAAGTCTCCACTCCCCCTCATCATGGAGTCCTTAGGGGGCGCTCTTGTAGGTAGATGATGTATTATCTTCTCGCTTGATCACCTTCCCTTTTGACCTAACCAATGATTCATCGATCAGCCCTTGGTTGGGGTTTGCAACAGGAGCGGTCAGCACGACCTTGGATTGCATCTCCGTAAGCTTTTTCATCATCTCCCACATTTCTCCTATGCCTCAATTTCCATCATTCATTCGACTTTCAATAGAGGAAAATCTGTTCTCCATGGTAGCAAATGTTTCTTTCATTCCTTATCAGATTTGCTCTACCTCTTCTTTTAGCACATTAGCTTTTTTTGTTGTCATTCCATCAAGATCTATGCTCTGATACCAATTTGATATGCCCTGGAATCAAAATCAGAAAGCAACACGATGAAACAACAATAGATTAGTGGAAATAATTCAAATGATGGCTGCTCTCACAAAATACAACAAAAAAAACAAGATATAGAAATAGATCTACTTTTGAGAGGACAACACCACCAAAAGAAGAAAACACAGCAGCCAACAAAAAAATGCTTAGAAGAAAGCACAACAACCAACAAAAAAATGCTTAAAAGAAAACAAACTCTTAGTTTTTCCCTTTAAAGAATCTCCCCCACATCCTTTTGAAAATTTTCCTTTCCAATTTCCCTTCAAACTTGTTTTAATTTCTCCTCCTCGAGTATGTAATTAAGCCTCTTGTGGACACCAAACTCTCCCTGCCTTCTTCTCCTGTGGAAAAATGTCGCTTCACCTCTTCACTCGAACAAGATTGACCTGCCTGTTGGTTTGGCGGGCCGGTGGGAGGGCATTCAACTAGTCCCTATTGGACCGGTCCTGTGATGGGCGTAACAGGTAGTTGACAATCAGGAACAAATCTACTCTTAGCTTCTTCCTAGTTCATAAGAAGCATTAAGATTTCATATTACAACTATGTTCTCTTAATCATGCAAAAATCTATTTGTTTGTAAATTTTCTAAAATGATTGCACAGATGTGACAACAATATTCCTATTCTCCCACACTTGTGTATGTTATCATAATCTTCCACCAGCCTCCTTCCGTAGTACTAGATCACTTGTTTTAACTTTATAATTGACCGGTTTGGAAGTAATTTAAGCATGCATGGTTAACATGTCATATTGTTTATGAAAAGTTTAAAGTTTTACTAATTAGCAGATCTAATTTTCATTTTCTAGATTCTAATCCAAGAGAGACATGCAGATTAGTGATGAGACATGATGAATAAAAGTATGAAATATTTGATTGAAAAAATAAACTAAAGTTTACACATGAGTTGGAACAAACAAACCGGAAGACTTCCTCGCTTTGCGTCAAAGAATTTCTCTCATGTACAACTTAAGCACTTCTACTCTGTTATGCCGATGAAAAAAAAAGAAAACACTCGCAGTATCTCTCGCTCTCATTTGTAGTGTTTCTCCACTCTTCATTTTGTGACTCACTGCTTTGTCATCTCCCGTGTTCTCTTTTTCTTCTCTTCTGCTCTCTCTCCACGAGTCTTCATATTAGACAAATTTAAGCCATCCCCCATGAAATACATAATTTATTTCACATTACATTATATTTTTACTTTACATCAAAGACTTAATTTTGTGCATAAAACCTAGTTTCTATAAACATGATTTGGACATTCAATCACTGCAAAGCACCATGTTGGAGAACCAACCCTTGCTACCATTTTTCTATTTTATAAATATTTCATTAGCTCTTGGATACTTTTTGGATATCTCTCGGTACTTTGTAAATCAAACTTATCATTTGTTATATTTATTTAAAAGTTCCATGCATCATTAGCATTATAATTTTACTCTTACTAGTTATTGTATTGTATTTGATCAAAAGGGCTGCAATAATGTCTGTTCGTTTGGTAATTCAAATTTTATAATTATACGTGAAGCTTTAAGTACCTGAACTAGAATGCTCATCTCTTCAATATGATATGGACCATTTTTTTGCTTTTTAGGATAATTAAATTTATAGCACTCGATGCTTCACTGTTTACAAAACTAGCCCCGGATCATTTTTTTCTTGAACTATCAAACTGGTGGGAATTTGATAGAAATGAAAATTCTGAGTTGGCAATTGAAAAATTTGGGTTGGGGTTTTATGTGAATTTTGATACTTGAGTGAGAAATGGATGAAAGAAGGTGCTAATTTTCTAAATGGCAAAGTTTTAAGTGCTTGGTATGTAATTTCCCCTTGCTGTTTCTGTCTTCTTCCATATAATATACCGAGTCATTTGTTTGTGATAATTGCCTACAACTTGCAGTATTTCAAGCCTGGTGTACTGTTTGAGATCCGAGAATATTGAGTCTGTAATGTGCAACGGTCAATGGATTTTGAAGGATAAAAAGATCTCAAATCTAGATGAGGTTTGTATTGCATTATTTCTTTCATTAAATTTTGAATTATAATGATTATTTTTCTGCTGTTCAATGCGGTATATTGATGGTTTTTTCTTCTTGTACAGGAAGAAGTATTTTCTTTAGCAATGAAAGCTTCAAGCGATATTATTAGAAGGGCAGGCATTGCCCTTCCTCATAGGTTCAACTTTTTCTAATGACATCTGGAACTGAATGTGCAGTTTTGCACACCAAGGGTTTGTTTCTAATGTTCGTTTTCCTCTATTAACTGTAGCATCATGCTGGTCTCCCCTTCTCCTTTGTTTTGCATGTATGATCTGTTCGATTTACTTCAAATCAAACTAACAAATAAAATAATATTCATGTATTTTCTATTTTGGGTTTGCTACCAAATAACTCATTCATCTCCTTACTTCTTGGAGAAGATTGATCTTCTCTTACATTTAACATGATCACGAGTTAAATGTTAATCAAAAGATCTCAGTTAAATGAAAATGTAATTGGATGATCTTGTAACTGGTCGACTTAATTGGCTCACCTAGTGATACATCCTAGAAAAATGGTTTTAATCATGCAAGAATTTCAAAGCATTTTGAGCAAGAAACCATTGCAAATATGAATACATAATCATTTGAGCTTTGATTTAGTCAAATTTATACTCGAATTGAGTGACTCACAAGACGAACCCAAAAATGCTAACTTCGATCCAACCTAAGTCTCGTTAAGGTCAGATGAAACCATTTAAGTGTAATTGGAGGTTGTCGATTGAATGTTCAAATAGATTACAAATATGATAAGGTTATAGTAAAATCGAGCGTCTTGGTGATACGAATTCAACGAGCCTAAGCTTACTTAATTTTAGCATCATTAAAGCATTTAAATATTAATAAAATATTATCCAATAAAGAGAACCACTCTAGGTTGTCTGATGGAGATTCATACAGTATTTATGGAGTATGTTGCTTCAAAATTTATAAGTAGAGCCCAACTTCCTTCATGAAAGTGGGCACTTGGGATCCAGACCTAGAATTTGAAAAGGCAGATCTAAGCACTGGAGTACTTTTGAGCTCCACCATTGCCGGGCTGCCGCCGTTGCACTCCATCGCCGGACCGCAATCGTCGAGCTCCAACATCGTCAGATTATCATTGTTGAGATCTACCACTGTTGAACCGTCATCGTTGATATCCACCACCGACAAACTGCCACCATCGAACTCCACCACTATCAAACTCCCATCGTTGAGCTCCACCACAGCTGGACTACCGCTATCAAGCTCCACAGATGTCGGGCCGCCTGGTTATCGCCGCTGCTGAAAGTACCGCCACAGTTGTCGAGCCAGTGTTGTCATTGTCGCTGCTGTTGGTCCTCTACTGCTTGGTAGCGCTCATCGCTAGATCACCACTTCTCAATCGTTGCCACCACCATTGTTGTCATTAGACCACCATTGACCAATTGTCACCATCACGACCGTCACTACAGGCACCGCCACTAGCATCTAGTAGCCACCATCGTCGGATCACAACCATTGTTGTTTCCAAACCGACGTCATCATCACACCCTCACTTTTCTGTTGTATTACACCATTCCCCCTAGCAGAAGTCACGTGGCTTATGTAGCATTGCTCATGATCAGTTAAAGTTCAATAAAAACTTGTAACCTTCATTCATATAGTAGAATATTTTCAACGAGGTTAGACTATGTGGTTTTTGTCATTTTGTATTTTCTATGTCAAAACTTTTGTTGTCTTCTTTATAAATTTCATTTTAAATATGTGTGTTGGATGTTGATATAACACCAAGCCATTAATATATTACTCTACCGCCGTAAATTTACGACAGGTAACACCTTAAATAATAGGGTCTACTTAGGCCTTTAGCAAAGATGATGTCAATGATCTAGCGCTGGTTGTTGCTAGAGATGATTTTTTTTTTGGGGCGGGGGGATGATGTGTCTTGAATGCTCAGAGATTTTTTAATGATGCTGCTCTTCCAAGTTTGAATGAATAAAAAAAAAGGATCAGATTACATAAACTAATGTTTGATCAAATGAGCTGTAAAATTATTAAATTAATCCTAAGATTAATGTAATATAAGAATGATTAATTAATTTTTATAATATATTTATTTTAAAATAAATTTAGTAGTCTTAAGAAGCATGTTAGCAAAAAATTTTAAAAAAAACTGAATAATTACATTCATATCACTCAACTTTGTTATTCCAAACTAGAACCCAGATATATTTTTTAAATTATGGATGCGTTTATGAGTGAAAAATCATCAGGGAATTTGATAACAATGAAAATTTTGAATTAGGGGTTTATTATGAATTTTCATATTTTTGTGACAATTTTAAAAATGGTTGCAAGAAGAACAAATTTATAAATAGAAATTTTGAGTGCTTTGTATGTAATTACTCTGCCTTCATTTATATATATATATATATATATATACATACCGTTTGAATTCAACGTTTCAAAATTCGTTATGTTATTTCGATTTTGTAAGAATCAATTTTTTTTTTCTTTTCTTCTACCTGAATGATTTATTTCCTTCATTGTCGTGGTCTTTTCATATGTGCGATCTTTCCTTTTCTTCTTCTTGCCTCACCTTACTGACTTCCCGTTCTGTCAATCCCTTTGTTCTATAAGAGCAGGTTTGACTGCCTCGTCTCGATTTTCCTCTCTTATCACTCTCTTTGTTCGACCAAAACTATCGCCTGATACAACCGTGATTGGAGCTAGCAGAGAAGACAACGACAGGACTGTACGCGGGCAAAGAATTCTAAAACCGTCGTCTTCCTACTCCTACCATTTACTCCTACCCGAAGCCATCAAGGAAAGTAATTCTGGCCTCAGTCCTCACCCCATCGCACACATTAGCTCCTCCAAATCCCCTAAATATATTTCCAACAAATTTTTTAACCCGAGATTTAAGGGTTAAGGCAAACCGAAGGAGAAACATGATTTAAGGGTTTGTAGGATTAGAAGATATTTAGAGGATAAACGTAACATTCCTAGTTAGGGGGCGTTAATCCTTATTAATTGTAGTAGATTTGTAGTTATTCTATAGGATTGTCAGTCATACCATTATTACTTCAATTTATACTTGTTATAGGCTTCAATTATTGCTCATAATGAAATTAATATCTTACTCTATTGTTGCATATCCTATATATTTGAAATAATCCTACAATTATGACATTTTCTTTTTATTCACATTACTTATATGAAATTGTATATGTCATATCACAAGTCTGCATGACATATTATTGTTCTAACATATTATATATGTGGAAACAATTTAACATGTTTGTGTGTTATGATTTTGGTTAGGCGGGCTTACATGTCCATAAAGTGAATCTCTCTTTGATTCCTAGGGATTTTGCACCATGGATTCTCTTCTAATCAACTTCGTGTTGTTTGCTTGGTTTTTTTCTTGTTTTAAAAATGGTTTTGTGGATATGTTGCTTGTCACTGCCAAGGTTTTTTTGTTACTAGTGTTTTATTTGGTCGTGTTCTCACAAGAAATTATCTGGTTTCTTAGGTTGATATTGA